TGTGATTGGCAGCACTCGGCGCCTGGTCGGGAAATGTCAAGGCCCTTACCATAGATGCCTGCGAGCTTCAGTGTAAATATTACGTCAAAATCAAATCAGTTTGAGTGCAATTTAAACCCGGATGATTGTAACCACTCTAAGTTCGTCTGCCTTGGGAAAGCTAGCGTGTCTCTGACGTGTCTCTAGTGTAGCTCAAACAGGCCTCATCCCATTCGTCAATATTTGTGATATCACAAATCCCGGAAAATATGCGTTGTAGTCCAAACGAGTCGTTCATTGTAGTTTTTGAAAAGTGATTTCTGTTAAATAAAATATCTCCTTTTGAATTGGACTTTGAGCTTTGTAACTTTGCAGATCTTTTTTATGCTCAAACAGCAACATTACAGACGATCTAAAGTTGAAAAAGTGAAAAAGTATAATAGGACCCCTTTAAGAAGACGGGGGAAAGAAAAACCAACAATATATGTAAGTCAATGTTGCCATCGTGCGGTGGATAGAAACATGATATGGTTGTTGCGGGATATACTGCGTGATGTTCATGAAAGACACCATCTTTCACACGTGATCACGATCTATGTAGTGAGGAGGACTTCTAAATCCACGAAAGACTACATTCATCTGTCACGTGTAACTTGCGTGACCGTTATCATGAACGAACTAAAGCTATCAATTATTCTTTTTCTTTTTACACAAAATACAAAATAATGGATACGAACAAAACGATAATAACGGTTTAAACAAAGAAATTAAACAAATTAAAGAACAGAAATGTGGCTAACATAAGTATTATCTTAAAGCTTCAAACGAAGTTACAGAGAGTTACATTATGCAGAATTGAAGAAAACTAGAAATGGCTGCCACATAGTTTAAATAAGACGATGTAATTTGGGCTCCGAACAACACATATAAAACTTTTGTCTCTTTTGAATGCTTGCAGTAATTTTGCAGTAATACAAAATACAAAAAACAAGTACACTAACTTATGACTAGTATAATATTTATTATGCTGTTATTGGGTAAATGCTTGTGTGACTTTCAGAATGTCTTTCCAAACCCGTTTGACTTTCTTTCTTAGGTGAAATAACGTTACCAAAAAGATGTGACAGGCTCATTCTCCATTCGTTACACTCTATTTGCCCCAGACTGAACTGTTCTGACATTTCTTTTGTGCTTCATGTAAGAAAAAGTCATGCAGGTTTGGGGGGGGGGATGACATAATTCACACGTTTGGGTGAACTGTCCCTTTAAGAGGCTAGTAAACCGACACACAGTTAGCGGTTGTGTACACTACAGCCGGACTCGGTAAACAAGTGTCTATGAAGGGCTGACGTCAGAGGCGGAGATGTCATGGCGTCGTCGGAGCTGAGACTGGAGCTTGCCATCTAGTCAAAGGTTGTCGTCGATGCGCTCAGCGAAATGGAGAAGAATGCAAACCCTCATCGAGACGCGGGAGGAAGTGTCCTGTGCACCGCTATCCCCGCAGAACCCGCGGATATCAAAACAGTGGGCGGAATGAAAGATGTCTGCGAGAAGAGAGAGACTTTGAGTACTTGTGCAAGTGCTAGCGGTGCTAATGCTACACCCTGCACACAGACATCAGATGCTGCTGAGACAGTAAGCAAGAGCGTTTTACCAGAGACACCGTCTACAACGGATCAGCTGAGCAACGGGATGGGATACGAACCGTCGACGACCGCTGCTGGGAATAAGGAGGGTGGCACCTCAAAGTTAGTAAACAACCTCGCGGGAGAGCAACCCGACATCAGTAACGTGCAAGCGGACGGTTTGGATGGAGGGATGCAAGAAGCGACGAAGCTGGCCAAGTCTGCCTGTTTGTGCTCGGACAACGCAAAATCCGCGAGCTCGAATTCAAACGATCACATCGTTTCCGAGGGTCCTCCGAGTGGCAGTGAGCCCAGCATCGCAGGGGAGTCCCGCAGCTTTGATTCACTGGAGTCCTTCTCCAACCTCAACTCCTGTCCGAGTTCAGACCTCAACAGCGAGGGACTGGAGGACAAGGGACTGACTTTGGCTATTCAGAGTGAATACGGGGCCGAGGGAACCAAAATCCCCTGTCCTAAAGACAGGGTGGCCGGTCAGTCGGTGTACCACATCAAGTGGATAAAGTGGAAGGAGGAGAACACGCCTATCATCACACAGAACGAGAACGGGCCGTGTCCGCTGCTGGCTATTATGAATGTCCTGCTATTGTCATGGAAGGTAAATAAGATGACTGTCTGCTCGTTTGACAGCTCAAGGTACCACCCAAGTCACAGATGTGCAAATGCACACAAAAAAAACATTTGATTGTATTGTGTGCGTCTACTCAGTAGGTCACGAGACATCAGTTGTCACTGCCATTAAATAAAGGCACATTAAGACGTTGATCGTTTGTTAAAAAGTTTTACAGAAAGACATGAACAGCACTTTTGAGATAGCCTATTTGGTAAAAATGAGGAACACTCACAGGAGGTTGACATCATGTCATGCAGTTGACAAAGTTACTAATAATAGAACATTATAAAAATATATTTACTTTATGTATGTGATGGTATGGGACAGTATCCTTCCGGTAACCCCAGTCAACAGAAGTCCAACTTCTGCTGATTAAAGAAAAAAAAGTCTAAACATGCAGCATGAGTGATGAAACAATTTGCAAATTTTAGTAAAGAAACTTAATGCGTGCATTTTTTAATAATTTCTCAAGATTCACACAGTTCCACAACTATGGTCTATAATTGGCTAAACAAACTGTAAAAATGTAGAGACATACAATGTGATTATGACTGAAACGCATCTTTTTCCTTTTATTTGACAATGTTTTGTAATAGTATTTGGGCAGTGAGTTAGTTGGGATTGACTTGAAATTCTGTTTGGATTTTGTCTTCACCTTCAGATTTCTCTCTCTCTTTCTCCATATTTTTAAATAACATCCCCTTTGCCATGTATTTGTAGAGCTGTACCAGTATTTTGGTTTGGTTC